GTTTCCGCATGACAGGTAAAAAGGGACACCCCGCTGGGGTAATTAGGGACACCCTTAAAATGCATTTACAGTAGAACCTCAGTTAGCAAAGGCTCCAGTTAACAAAACTTATCGAAAAATTAGTATAACATTGGTTGTCACAAAATTGTACCTACATCGAATGATATATATAGAATTGTGCACTGGGCATCATAGAATGAAAAGTAATTGACCTGAACTATGATTTATTTCTCCAAAACATATGATGGTTGTCACTAAAACATTATTTTCTGTAATCAATCTTTACCATCTGAAATAGCACTGGTTATCGCAGCCCAATGCGAAATGTCACTACTTCAACTTGGAACCTTAGCTGATGAATTAATGCATCTAGTCCGCAGCAACCTAACTAAATCCAGCTCTTCCATTGGCGCCATTCAAGCAAACAAGAAGGAACCTTCATCTTCTCAAAACTGGTCCGCTCAAACTACTCAAATTCCCTATGGCTTGCATCCATTCAGCAAGGATCAATGTCCCAAGATGTGCAAATTCCACCTCTACTTTGCAGGAAAAGCTACCAAGTGCAACCCATGGTGCCAGTGGCCTAACAAAAAGGACTGCAAAATACAACCCAACTCGCGTCCTTCTTCTCCGGCAAGATCCGCATCAAGCAACCAGGAAAACTAGCAGGGCGGGTTACCACTGTAATCTCCGGCCCGCCGCATCTGGAAGTCTCTGCACAAATTGGAGCAGCTAAACTAAATTTTGTTATAGACACGGGTGCTGCTGTGTCAATATTGCCTCAAAAATTTGCAATGGGAAGACATTCGCACCTACAGAGAAGCAACCCTAGACATCGTAATACCAGCACTTCTCCTCAGTTTCTCCTGGACAATGGTCATTGCCGATACCATAAACCCGCTGATTGGATTCGATTTTCTCAATCATTTCAATTTGTTAGTGGATTGTGGTGCCAATAAATTAATCAATAAAACAACAGGAAAGCAGACCACAACCAACAGACTTGCGAGCTGTCCCGTGCAGACGATCATCATCGATATTTCAGCTCTATCTGAAGAAGTTCAATGCCTTTTGCATAAATATCCTTTGCTTCTTTCAACGAAAAGTCGAAAACCACCACAACAACTCAGACTGGAACTGTTTTGCACTGAATCAACACAGGAAGCGCTGCGCCTACATTTTGCAAACCTAGACAACTATCAAGTGAGAAGTACGCAGCTGCCAGAAAAGAATATCAGAATCTACTCTCATCAGGCATTGTACCGCTGTCCAGTTTGCCATGGTCCAGCCCCATTCACCTCGTACCCAAAATGGAACCAGGTCAATACCGGATCTGCGGGGACTATCAGACGCTCAACGTGGTAACTGTTCCAGACAGATATCCAGTACCACATATCCACAGCATTTCCAACAAATTGGAAGGTAAAACTATTTTTTCAAAAATCGATCTAGTTCAAGCTCATCATCAAATTCCTATGCACCCAGATGACATTGGTAAAACTGCTGTAACCACTCCATTTGGTAAATATGAATACTTGAAAATGCCATTTGGTCTACGAAACGCAGGTGCCACATTTCAAAGGTACATGGATAGTCTATTCATTCATTGCCACTTTATTCCAAATCATTGTCTCTTTCTAATGACGAACAGTCTGCTTTTGTTGATGTTAAGAAGGCACTTGCGAATGTTAAACCTCTTGCTTATTCTTGTTCTTCAGTGACCCATTATCAACTTGTCACAGACAGCTCTAGTTACGCTGTGGGAGCCGCACTGCACCAAATGCTTAACTCAGAGCCCTTACCAATTGGCTTCTTTTCAAAGAAATTGTCAGAGGCACAACGCAAGTTTTCAACTTTCGACCGTGAGTTGCTTGCGTGTTATCTTGCTGTCATTCATTTCAAACCGCAAATTGAAGGAAAGTTCGTAACTATTTTTACCGATCACAAACCTTTGTCTCCTGCATTTCGTAAACAAACCCCTCTAAAGACTGATAAACAGCAATGTTACATGTCATTGATAACAGAATTCATTGCAGATATTAAATATGTAAAAGGTAGTCAAAATGTTGTGGCCGATTGTCTCTCTAGACCTGTTAATTCTGTAACCCTTGATCCATGTGATTTAAATTCCATATCGGTGCAACAACTTCAGGATGAAGAACTTGTGCTGTATAAAGATAAGCTCAAACCGTTTACAATTGCTGATCAGAGCATAGTTTGGTGCGACGTTTCCTTGCCCATACCGCGCCCCTTTGTGCCTAAGCAATCCCGATTTTTGAATTATTTCATAACCTCTCACACCCCAGTGTTGAATCTACCATCAAAATAATCAAATCTAGATTTTATTGGCCTGATATTGATAGGAATCTCACAGCGTGGGTGCGTGAATGTCAATCTTGTCAGCAGAGCAAAATTCATAGGCATACGAAATCTAGTGTACAAACCTTGGGTCAACCTTCAGATAGATTTCAAACTGTTCATTTAGACCTTGTTGGTCCTTTGCCTTTAGTCGTGCCAAAGAATGAAATTTATAAGAGTCCATACCGATATTTATTAATGTGTATTGATAGGGTGACAAGATGGGTAGAAGCTATTCCTATTGTTGACATTACTGCTGCTTCTGTTGCCATTGCTTTCTTTGAAGTGTGGATTTCTTGTTTTGTTGTGCTATTGAATGTTGTCACAGATAAAGGTACTCAATTCGAATCTGAACTTTTTTCTGAACTTTCAGCATTGGTAGGATTCCAGCGACTACGTACCACAGCTTATCATCCGCAATCAAATGGTATGGTAGAACGTGTGCATAGAACTATCAAAACCGCTATCACGGCCCGAAAACAAAATTGGTTGAATGCTTTGCCTATTATACTTCTAAGTATTAGGAATTTGCCTGATGATTCTGGATTTTCTCCCGCTGTTGCCGTTACGGGAACCTCATTACTGTTACCTCATCCTTTGATAACCAATGACAATTCAATGTTCAATAGTGACTCTGTTCGTAATTTAGCTGTAGACATGTCAAAAATTGATTTTTACCAAATGTCTGACAGGAAAATCCATTCAAATCCAAAATCATACATCCCAACCAAGCTGAATCACTGCAGTCACGTATGGGTACATGTTGACAGAGTGCGACGTCCCTTGGAAGCACCGTACACAGGTCCCTTCAAGGTTCTGCAAAGGCATCCAAAATTGTTCATAATACAAATCCCAACCGGAGCGAAACAAGCTGTATCCATTGACAGGTTGAATCCGGCACACATTCCTTGTCAACCAAAACCTCCAGTTGTGGATCCAGAAGTACTTGCCGAAGAGGTTACTCCTGCCAGCGAAACACTGCCGGAAAACGCCTCGAAATGCTCATCTCGAACTGGACGTAGAATAAAATTCAAGAAGGAAGAGGATTTCATATACTACTAACGTCAAGAACCAATTTGTGGCTCCACCTTTGGGTGGGGAAGCCATGTAGCAACGTCCCGCCTGACTTCTTTGATCAATCCACCAAAGTAATAGTTCATTCTTGTGTTGACCTTGTCATAGCCGTTTTGCTCCTTGGCAGTTTATCTACAGCTCTGTACCTGTAAACAATACACTTGAATCACAGCTTACTCCAGCCTCTCCCTAGCCTCTGAGTGTCTAGAAAACCTTTATTACTGCATTATCAGATCAATCTTTACATCTCTTTCAGGTATGTTTTTCACAATCTTTTTTTGTTATAGTGAAATCACTTGACTGGGTTAAAATTGTTGAAATTACATACAAACCATCCTGTAAGCTTACAGATAAAGAAGAAATGCTACATGGCTGCTGATATGAAGCTTGCAGTGGACAAAGTCGTTGTCAATGCTCAACGGCATGTCCATGGATACAGTAATATCACATTAATAATATGGTAATTAATGAATATGGTAATACAATATCAATAAAGGAAAAACAGGTAAAAATCACAGAAAATGTCATTTATTTTTGATCTACATCATCTGCAATGAAAGAGGAGGACTTCAGAGTACTGTTAGTAATGGATGAGTACACTCTGCATGCTTCAAACATTTTAAAATTAACTTTTATTGCAAGTGTCCCGGATTACCCTGTTCCCAGGGGTAAATCGGGAATGTTTTATTTTGCGTCTGGCACCTTACGAATAGCATATGGAATTTTTTGAAGATGCCATTCGATAGCCCTTGCAAAGAGCTATAAAATGAGCTTAAACTTGTTTCTGAAATGTTTCATGGTAAGAAGTTATTAACAAAAAGCGCTCAAAACCGTCCTTTTTTACCCCGTTTGATGGTTGTACTACTCTGCAGTGCTCTACAATGAACCAAGGCCAATTTACTATTAGGGCAAGCCCAACAAAGTTTTCTTTTCTTGTGACTAAATCTCCAATAACAATGTGACTTATATAGAGGTTGACTTCCTACAGCAGAAAACAGTAATAAATGGTTGTTTCATCAACTCATGTGGTTCTAGATGGGTAATAGCAAATATTAGGTCCATACATTGATTGAAAACTAAGAATTAACAGTTGGTCCTGTCTTAACCCTGCCTGGTCCCATCTTACCCCAGTGGGGTAAGATGGGACCTGCTCATTCTTTTGCTCCACACATAAAACTGTATTATTTGCAAAAAGTCTTGAGTTGTAGCCTAGAAGTCCATTGTGCAAATATATGCACCATGTGATTGGTTCAAGGTTTTTCAGTTATTTGTGGTATAGGTGCTAAATGCTTGTTAGTGATTTTGGTCCTGTCTTCCTCCATCTGACTATATAATAGATTTAGTGCAGGCCTTAGGTTTTCTTGTTATATTCTCTTTTGCTTTTTCAAACTGGTTAAAAACTATCAAAATGTTACATGTCATGCAAGAGTGAGTGGACTGTGGACCCTAATTTTGAATATTGGTCAAAAGTTTCCTAAAAAAGTTTTTAAAAATGGTTGCTTCATGGGTTATTTTTGGAAATTGCTTGTAAAACTAATCTGTTGCCGTTCTTCTTATTTTCCACAGAAGAATTTGGGGAGAGGTCATAAAATGGCTGAAATTGGCCATATTCACAGGTGTTTTTTGTACAATCCACATGTGGCTTCTGCCCAATTTTCCATTTAGTAGTGGACCCCTTTGCCTTGGTTTTACATTTGTCATAAATATTTATTTTGCTTCTAAGTTTCATTGATGTAAAAATATGTTGAATAAACTTCTTTGTCATATTGCAACTGGCAGCAAATGTGCTCTTTATTAAATAATGGGACCCAAAGGAGCCACAACTAGCAGTGGTGCTGCTAAGAAGAATGCAGATTCAAGTTGTAAACCATCAGTTGCCCATACCAGATTGAAATCAAGCCTCTCTAAAGGTAATCTCAATTTAATTTTAATGTTCTATATTTTCATGATCTCACAAAATAGTATGAATGTTTATTAACATGCTGTAGATTTTTATGCTTTTGCCATTTCTTTAGAGCATTAACTAAAGAAATTTTTGCTGTGCAGCTATAGAGGCAGTTGGTGCCCCTGAGCAAGCAGCTACTGAGAAGGTGGAAGATGAAATTGATGAAGAGGAGGCAAATGAAGCTAATGAAGCACAGGGAAAAAGTTGCAATGTTGAGGATGAAGGAGCAGAGGAAAATGATGTAGATGAAGCAGTTGATGAACGCGAGGCTGATGATGGTGGTGAGGAGAATGATGGTGATGATGATGAAGAAGAAGAGGATGACAGAGAAGCTGACCAACCCAAGAAAAGGAGACGGCAATGGGAGCTTTGGTCATCTGAAGATAAAGATATCTTTTTTGAAGCCATCAATGAATGTGGCAAGAATTTTGAATCCATTCAGGTAAAATGGAGTTATTTTATTGAAATGATAAACTTACTTTTCTATTTGTAATGTGTACAAATTATATTTCTACTTTCAACCATAGTTTTAGTCTGTAAGTATCTGTTTTCATCCCCGTGTTGGTTAAATATGATAAAGTTTTATTGAAATGATAAACTTACTAATACATTTGTAATGTGTACAAATTATATTACCTATTTCTACTTTCAACCATAGTCTGTAATAATATTGAAAAAATATTGAAAATGAAGTAAAATGCTAGAAAATAAGTAAAATATCATAAAATATAAATAGGCATAATTATCTATTATTTGACAATACCTGACTGTTTCAGGCTTACTTCAAAACAAAAATTCAGAAGAAAGGCCTTCCCTCTGCTCAAGCCAAGAATAAAGACCAAGTTAGATTCTTCTACTATCGGACGTGGCATAAAATTTCTAAATATATTAGTTTTGCTGGCAGTAAGTACTTTCACTTGCCATGTACTCTATACTCCTAAACATTTTTTTGTGGATTAGTATGTCATAAGGAAGTTCTAGTTTAGTTTGTTAGCAATACTACCTAGTTATTCCGAGGTAGCTTCACTTGGCACTGTTCAGCATTTTATCAAGCAATTTTTTAGCAGAAATTTGTCAAACTATACCATACTTTCAATAAGAACCCTTTCCAATCCCCACCGCATGTAAGTGTTATTCATACTTTCAAGATCTTCAAATACAAAGATTTAGGAAATCTTTGAAGGATGATCTTATTTTTCTGCCTTCTGACAAACATTTCATGTTCCTGCCAGTTGCTAAGAAGTCCACTCAGGAGATATATGGTCTTGTGAACTATGGAGAGTTCCGGCGTCGGGTTGGAGGCACACTTGACTACAAAAGGGGACTTCAGTTACAAGAACTTGTGCTGCAAGGAAGTACAAGTGTGCGTGTAAAAGGGCGAGCCATAAGGATACGTACACCACAATGCAGAGCCCTGAAAAAATTCAACCAACCCCAAGGTATCATTCAACCTCATTTCTCTCTATCATTGACATACATACTCATTATCTTGACATTTCGAGTTAGTGCTTATGTATTATAAACGATGTTCATATTACCATAGAGATGTCACTATTACATTAATTATAAATTATCTTGTGCAGACAAGAGTCGTGCCAGTGAGCCGCTGCCCCGCAGAATATCTGTGATGTTGTCCTCGGGCAGCATGGCCGCCTGGACGCACGTGCACAGCCTGGCACACAACCCTCGTGTGAAGACAACGCTCTCCCCCAACAGACCTCTCAGGGACCTGCTCATGTTCCTCCAACTCAAATGGAGACTCAAGAATCTCAAAACGGTTTGTTGGCCTGCATGTCTGTTAAGCTTTTCTGTTTTGGGCCTATGCCATTGTTGTTTCAATGCAATTTTATCAGGATCCTGCAGTATTGGACGAGTGCACAACCAATCAAGCAGTGAATTTTTCATTTGTAGTTCAATGAGATTCAGTGTTATGAATAAATAATAAGATAAACTATCATTCTCAGTTATTTGATCCATAACTTTCAACTCATATTTATGTCATTTATTTGATGTTAATTTTCCTTATGTTTGACGAAAAGCCTGAGTTTTTGCAAGCGACCATGAATCCTACAAAAAATATAACACAGTACTCACTGCAGTGAGTGACAGAGAGCGCATTTTCTCGTCGACGAAAACGAAGTCACGGACGGACAGACGGACGTGGCGCGCACATTAGTGCATTTTTTACATAAATGAGAAAATGCGCTAAACATTAGAGCAAATCTAGATTGCAATTTCTGTGATCTACAAACGATTCCTCTTTTTACAATGCAATTTCATTGGTTGTTTCAGTCCAAGCTAATTGAATTGCACTTGCAGTGCGCATCACTTCTGATGAAGAGCAACCAAAGCGTGTCTGTGCCTGAGATCCAAGAACCTCTTCTCAGAATCCGGCCCTCACCTCAATGCAGCGTGACTCTTTCTCGGGTCACTCAGGTACTGTAGCATTTATTTCCTCAGCATTTGAATAATAAAGAGCTTTTTTAGTGTGGAGACAAATCATAAAAATGATATATGTTGTTACAAATTCTCCAAAAATGCGCATCTATATTTTAGCTAATATTTTTCACACTTTCTCCTTTAATAAATAGAGTTAAGTTTGTAATAATTCATAACCTTCCGCTGGAATAGGTAGCAAATTTCTTATTGAATTTTCGGCGATTCTGATGGCTTATTTCCAAATATATTTGTATAAAGCCATATGAAAGAGACTCCTAAAATCTAAAAATGCATATGAAAGCTCATGAAATAAACATTGTAGCTTCAAAGAAATGCTTGTCGCCTGAATTCTCCAATATAAGCCTTTAGGCAAAAAATACCTAAATTTTAGTTTTGTGGCGATTTCCAATTCTTTCACTTCGATGAGTCTTGTCCTTGATCTCAGGTTACTGCAGATCAGCATCCCTGTGCATCTCTTTTAAGCCATGAGTCATGGCTGAAGGAATCCGGAGCCCAAAAAACAACCAAAGCCAAAACAAATCGTAAGAGTAGCAATCCTACTCAAAAACCTTTCCCTAAGAAGCCTGAAGAAGAGACAATCTCTAAGAAGGCTGAAGGAACTGGTGAATTTCAAGCATCTGTATCAGTTGTGGATGAGGTTTGGGAGGCTTCTCAGGAGGAGACAGATTTCAGCGATGCTGAGGAACTTGGTATTCAGAACAGGAATAAAACAAACTCCACAAATTTGTGCGCCGATTCACAAACTTCTGATGAAGATCACGAAGCAGTGACAACTACATCGACTGTACCTCCTTTGAGCCGCTCTCGGAATCAAAGTAATAAGAATAGGAATAAAACTAATTTGTCTGTGAAGTCTAGCGGCCTTTCCACCAGCTCGTTAGACCCAACAGCTAACTGTGATAATTCTTTGCCAAAGAAACGTAATTTATTAAACCATCCGACCGTTGGTGGAAGCCTTGCCACTGCCCCGGGCTGTGAAGCTGTTAGTGTTGTTCGTAAGTCTAGGAAGGGCCGAGCTCTGAAGATTAAGTTTGCTACTAATACATGTGACGACTCGCACGATGAGGCTTTGAATGAAGACTATGATGAACACGATACCGAGTGCGACGAGGAAGAGGTAGAGGATGAAGAAGACAACGAAGAAAAAGAACGCGATAATTCAAAAGTTAAAAATGAAGTTTCTGAACCCAAAGAGGCCAAACCACCCGACAAAGCAGCGCCGGAGCCTGCACAGCTCGCAGTCGAGCCGTTGTGTGCCCGCGTCGCTGCCATCAGGGCCGGATGGACGCTCGCCAGCGTGGGGCGTCTCACCATCGGAGAACTCTTCGTCATGGTTAACAAATATGGATTTTAGCGAAACTTTAATGTTCTCTTCCAGGTTCAATTTTCGATTTTGGTAGATCGATTCTGCACATCCCAATGCATAACGACGTTTAGCAGAGACGCTTTTGCTTGCTCTGGTTGTAACCCCAACTTTAGAATAAATGTGAAATGTAATGCTTTTTGGAGCTACCAATTCCTTGTAGTGTACAATTCTTATTTTTGGAATCATTTGGTGAGAAATATGACTGCTTTGACTCGTCTAACATATGTGAAACTTCCTTATTTCTAAATGCCAAAATTGTGAATTTTCAACATTGGGATTTCATTGGAGTTTTAGCTCGATTTATTGGAATTTTCAATATTTCAAGCTTAGTTTTCATTGATGGATTTGAACGAAAATTAAGGTATCGATAATGCTCAGAAAATCTTTGATCTGCTACAAGAGTTTACTTCGCATTGCATGTGCATTTCTGAAAACTCATTTTTTTCTGTGCAGTTGGGAAGAATGAATCCATTGCTGCTTGAGTACGAATTCGAGAGCGTAAAGAAAGAGCCTGGCAGTGAAAGTTCACAATCCACCAGCCCTGTCACAACTTTAGCGAGAGATACTGCCGTGCCTGAGTCTTCTGACGAGTCAAAATTTAAAATCGACGTCAAGTATAGCCCTTCTCCTGGAGCAGTGAACGCTAATGGAAATGCTTGTTTCTCTTCCATTACAAGGGATACAGCCACTGTCAAACCTTTGGTTACAGCCGCTGCCAAACCTACTTCAGAGCTATCGGGAATGCTGAGCCAGCTTCTAGACATGTCTTCTCAACTCTTCCACAAGAATTCCTTGTTGGAAGGGAACAAAATGTGTCCATGTCGCCTGAGTAAAGGTTTCAAAAGCCCTTTGGGTGGAGCAGCTTCAAGGAGCCCCAGAGTTCCGGCGTTACCTGCTGCAAGATCTCCTGATGTTGGCGGCTCGAATTTCGCGGTTCCTGCTGATAGATCAAGACCTGCTTCTGCTAAACGCCTCATTGCTCCAGATGATGTGGATGCTGCGGTTAGTCATGAAAATAAGCTAGCATGCTCCACATTATTTGCTTACACTTCGGACGGACATTAGAAGTTCGGATAGACATTTCTGGCAGTAGAAAAAAGGTATTAGATAAGTACCATCATACGGTTTTGTGACTTACTAAAGATTTGAACAATCTCAGTTTGTAGAATTATTGCTTGGTGTTTGAAGTAAGCTGAACCTTTCTAATGGTAGGTATCATTTTTCAAATTTTCATCCCATGGCATTAAAGCATTTTTGTTCATTTGATAATTTTGCTATTTAAAACAAAATTTGTGGTTAATTTTGTCATAAATTCATATCAAATATTATGCTATTGGTTCTGTGACATGTAATTCGTAGCTAATCAAGTAAATGAGCTTTATTAATCAATGAAACCGGTATGTCGGTTTAATGATTGGCATATTTATTATGATATTTATTGATAAACCAACATTTATTGATACCTTCGTTTAATAATTGGCCTTTGCAGGCGAAATAATGATTTTTATTGATATATTATTTTAATGATTGGCATTTTCAGGCGAAACAATGCTCTTTATTGATATATTATTTTAATGATTGGCATTTTCAGGGGCGGAAACAATGCTATTTATTGATATTTTGGTTTAATGATTGGCATTTGCAGGCGAAACAATGCTATTTATTGATATGTTGGCTCAATGATTGGCATTGGCAGGCGAAACAATGCTATTTATTACCGGTATGTCGGTTTAATGATTGGCATATTTATTATGATATTTATTGATAAACCAACATATTTATTGATACCTTGGTTTAATAATTGGCATTTGCAGGCGAAATAATGATATTTATTGATATATTGGTTTAATGATTGGCATTTGCAGGCGAAACAATGCTCTTTATTAATATGCTGGTGTAATGATTGGCATTTGCAGGCAACTGGGAGCAACAAACGCCACTGCGTGCGTACAGGAGAGAGTGTGAACGTGATGGTGAGCGTCACCGCTGGAGACTTCAGAATGGAAGTCCCTGCCTCAGCGACCAGATCCACTGCTGTGCTCTCGGACCAGGCCAAACTTGAAGCTGAAATTTCCGTGAGTTGCGACCATTTTTAGCGCATTTTTTCATTTATGGAAAACAGGCGCTATTGGGCTCGTCATGTACGTCCGTCTGTCCATCCGTCCATCTGTCTGTCTGTCTGTCCGTCCGTGACTTCACGTTTTCGTCGACGAGAAAATGCGCTCTCTGTCACTCACTGCAGTGAGTACAGAGTTATATTTTTTTTGGGGGGGGACGGGATTTTAAGTGGTTTGATAACTTGATTAAAAGAAATGTACGATCTGAAACTAGTTATTTATCTTTTTTTATAGCATGTTTTGAAGTGAAGAATTTATTGCAGATAAAACTCAACATCACTTGAAGGAAATTTGCCATAAATTTCAAACTTAATGCCCTTGAGTGGGCCAAAAACTGCCCAACACCTCAAAGCTGGAAGCCTTTAATAAAATTCACATAGATCCCATTGACACACCTGTCAAAATACTTCTTAAGTGAGCTGTGTCACTAGTCCTGGAATAGTATATTTGACTAGTGACGATTTACGCTAGACTTGCAACTAGATTACGTCTTTTCGTTACAAAAGTGTGTAAACATGTGGTTTGTTTGACCACGAGATTAGAGTTGTACCAGGCTGCTAAAAGTGGCACTTTTTCCAAAGCAGCCATATTGATGAATATCTGTCTNGTTGTGCTCATCATTTGTGCGTCTGTTGTGTTTCTGTGGCGTTGTGCTCATCATTTGTGCTCCTGTTGTGTTTCTGTGGCATTGTGCTATTCATTTGTGCGCCTTGTTTTCTTCTAAGGTTTATTATGTTTTTTATATAATTTATACGTCTTATATTTATTTATTTTTGCTGATGTTTCAACCTTTGAAGCCATGCATTAACTTGTGCACCTGATCTGCCACTGCTGTTGTTCTTCCATACCTAGTGTACCAGGCCTTTGCTTCATTTGCCAAGTTTCTTTTAATGCCATAAGTTTCATTCAACATTGACCTAAATTAAAAATTTTGCCATCGCTGCAGGTAATATATACAATATTTTATCCTTGAACAGAATAACCGCAACGTGGCAACAGCCAGGGATGTTTACGTAGCACTTCCCGGAGCCCCTAGCATATCATTGAGAATCGGAGCTCCAACAGTCATCGCTGCTCCCACAACTACGGGACATTTCCCTACCTCGCTTACGAACTCTACTGCTACTCATCAGTCGCAGAGCCCATGTATTAATGTTCAACAGCAAATCACTCGTTCCAACGTTCAGCAATCATTAAGTACGAATTCCAATTCGAATCCGCACGAAAACCTCAATTTCAATATACCTCGGCTGAGAACACCGAACTCTAATGTTAATCAGCTGCTAAACCACAGTTCAAATATCGGGATCCGGCCTCTGGTACCTGTTTCTGCTACCAACGTCAATACGGTAGCGTCTTCGGGCATTAATAGCAACGTGGTTGTGGCATCCGTGAGTGCAACGAATAATCCCTCATTATTGACGACACCTGTGTTGGTCAGTCGATCGCTTTTAGTTGTTCCCGACAATGCGAGGCCTTCTTATTCTGGATCCCGGCATCCCTTCCCCTCACTAAAATGGGCTGCGGCTGATCATCCCGGTGTCATTGTAGACACTCCATCTAATAACGTTCCTCCTTCATCTGTAGCTTCTAACGCGCTTTCAACAAGTTTAAGTATTCCGTTTGTATCAAATAACACAAGTATTAATGAAAAGCTTCTAACCAATCTCGAAAATTCTGATAACTATAGCAATTGCAGTCTAAGTGATTTTCTAAATCTCAACGCTTCAAATGATAGCCTCAACTCGTCATTTTTAGAATCTCTATGTCGCTCCGTGCCGAGTGAAGGAATTACAATACATTCATCGGATTTACCAGACAGTTTATCTGAAACTGCAATCCGAACGTCATCCGTCAATTTATCGCAATCTGTTACCCTACAGAGTAGTCATCAAGGAACCCTTGGTGAAATGTTGTGTCTTCCTCTTGGTACACCTAATCTTTGTTCGCAAACTCCAAATGATTTCGACGATAACACGGAAGGCCTACATACTCCTAAGCATATAAGTGAAGGATATCAGAGGAAGGCCATGTCCCCAGAGAGCAACACTCTGGACGCGAACGTTTCGTTCGGCGTGCCGTGCAGCAACAAGATTAACATCGTCTTGCGGAACCCTATGCGCAATTTGCCTGCCGATTTCGAAGGGAATTCATCCACATCAGGAATGTTTTCCTCAAACCAATTGCAACTTTCCGACGATTTATTAAATAAAGAAGAAATCAGCAATATTCTCCCGGATTCTCCCAAATCAAGAGGTGACCAAAATGAGAATAGTGTCAACGTTTTATTGGACCCGTCTCCTACCGCCGCCGCTATTCAGAACGTCAACAACGCGCAGTTGTCTACAAACACGTCTGTGGAAATTCTGGGCCTTTCGTTAGACTTAGACTCAAGTACTGGTTTCTCAAGTAAGATTTCGTTGACTAGTATATGATAAAACGTGGTGGATCAATTTGTGTTCCCGTGGTGGAGTTAGACATCCAATCCACTTATCTCATCCGATTTAATGCTGCATGTGTGTTCGTACCTTTAGCATAAAATGTATCAAATATGTAAGTTCTTTTCGTATTGTAGATTTCAATATCTGGTAAACTGATTCATCATGAATTTTCTCTAAACACAAGTAAACTTATTTTACGCTATCTGAGACCAGCACCCTGTTAACTTGTGAACTTTCACACTGCACTGATGGACAATTTTGAACAAAATTTTCTTTCTCTTGACCAGGTCTGCTTTCTTCCGTGGTAGGGCCACCCTGCCCCTCCGCTGAACCAGACTCGTCTCTCCTAAACACCCCTTCTCGCTTGAAGCATCCCACTCCCTCCAGCGGCGGGGCGGTCGGCGGCAGACCTTGCACTCCTTCTTCCCCTTCACGATTCGTCCCCAGGGATGACTGGTTGTCTGGGGCTGCAGACTTCTCCCTCACGGGGCTTTTTGACTCCATCGACCCGCCACTCAAGGGCGCTCATGAAGACCCTCAGGCCGCTGCTGATCCCCAGCAAACGGTCGCTATTTTGAAAAATCCCCGAGCTCCTTCCACGACGTTGCTGGGAGTTCTCAACGAGAACGGCGTCGATTTCACGGCAAAGTTCGACGCTCTGACATCTTCTCAGAACGCTGAAAGCTCTCACTGAGCTCCAGCCTAAATTGCTGTTGCTCTTTGCCTTCAAATTTACGACTTGAGTTTAGGTAAACTATTTTTGGATTTTTTATAATTAGATTCATCCCGCTAATTTGAATATATTGACAGATATTTTTTGTACTTATTAATATACTGGGCAGCTTTGCATATACTTGCGACACTTGTTTAAATCGTAACGAACAAATTTAGACCTAAGATCTTAAATTCATTGTTCTGGAATTTCTGCCACGCTTATTGTGCATGGTTGAGAACTTAATTTATTCTAATTAACATAGAAAAGGGTTTTCTGGCTTTACTATAGCTCAGTTTGATGATTTGAAAGTTTATTCAATGAGTTTTGGTCTTTTCATCAATTATTGTTTTGTTTTATTATTCATATCAGTGACGATTTTGACTGATATTTCGATCAAAATTTAAGTATGGATTGTTGATTCAATGCTTGTCATTGTTAAAAATCCACTAAAAACTTCTAACATAAATGTTTCTGATGACGAATGTAAGTATTGCATTATCAATGCTAGCTTCCTAGATTTTCGGAAAAGTCACCAAGTAATCTATTTCATACAATTATATCCATCATTGACAAAGTTTTTTTTAACTTCCATATTTAATCAAAATTTGTCTTGTCTCTGGCACTTACAGTGAATTTTTTTTCTTGACAGCAGCGGGTTCTGGGATTTAAACTCACTAGCTGTCCTGTTGCGACAAACTCGTTGAGAAAATTCATTATTATTAGTATTTCGTGCTGGCAAATAGTTTTTGATATGGTTAAAGTTTTTTCGAAGCTAATGAGTCGTAAACGCGTGTGGATAGTTCTACATCGTAGCTGCTATTTATCACTTGAATTGTAGTTCATTTGAGAAACAAGTGAGAGGTTTTTCACTAGCGTAAATTTTAATAGCGTTATTCAATTTTTCGCACGCACTGAGAGTACAACATTAGTGCCTGAGCTGGCTCAACTCTTATATTTTTTGATCTGAACTGCATGTAACAAATAGAGATCTCGTCAAGGCATTCATTTTTGATATTCTTTCACGCGGTAAATGGAAGTGTTCCTCCTTTCGCCTATTGCTTGAAATGCAACAAAATCACTCGTCTAATGCAACTCAACTTAGCAATTTAACACTAACTCATTTGCCTTCTCAGATTCAAAACTCCTTAAAAATTGCAGTTCTCATGGATATAAATCACGGGTAACGTTTCCACGTAATCAAAGGTAGCCACCATCAATTCAATGGCTGCTCTTATATTAATAATTAACTGAATTCGCGTTAAACCCTGACTAATTCATCGTTATTCCGTAAACTGTTTCAATTGGATTGCAAGTTTTGCGGTTGAGGCCACACGTGCAATATTAAGCTGTTTTTATGTGGTCACGACTCGAAACTTGTTCGCGGCGCTAAAAAAGATACTCTTCTAATGACAGGGTCACAGGGGTTACACAATCATTTTGTATTGGTTAAAGCACGCAATCGAGTGCAGTAAATGATTTGATACACTAACAAAAACTGAAGGTTTTATTTTGGCAAAGTTTGATTTTCACCCAGAAGATTAGTGCTTAGTTTTTTCACGTTAGGATCGTGTTCATAATGGAACTTTTCTCTGTATGTACAATATTCTCAACTGTCAGCTATGTAGTATTAATTTTCGAATGTTAATTTGCTATCGATTAGGAAGTGCATGCAAAAGATACAAGACGAGTGTATTCACCATAAGAATAAATGTATGGTTTTCACTAACAAGACGCTGTGGTAGAGCAAGATTTTAAAAGCAAATGAAACGCCAAATAAATTCACCATATCTTTAGCGGAAACGTTTCGGAGACCAGCTCCATCGTCAGTATTTTAGATGTTGAATTGTTCTTCATTGTTGATGCGTTTGTGGGTACTAAGTTTCAAAAGGATTCGGTGTAAGTTACCCGTGAATAGTAGCGTTGTTGTAATCCCTTGCCAATCAAGAGTCAGCCACTCATCTTGCCAATAAAGGATCTAATGCATATTTCAACAACTTTCCAAATATTTATTTGAATTTCCTTCATTAAAAACAGTTTACCTATCGTCCGTGATCTCGAGTTTTACGTAAGTCGGTGTAGAATTACGTTCTAGTAATTATGCACCTAACTCTAAACTGTTACTACATTTCTTCTCTTTATTGTGAAACTTCCTATTTCGTTTTTCCTTCTGTATCCCTCAGTAAACTACATGCTTTCATGTTCTCTACTCGTTCCATAATATTATTGGTAGCCACAATCTTGTCTGTTATCGGAAGACGTCCCGTATATTATATTCATCAAAGGCTAGGCATTTATAGAACTGTGTAGTATTAACACTCAGTATTTTGTGCCACCACCTGATGCATTCATTCTTGCAGAGCCAAGGCCTCCATACCGTTTATGATCGGTAGTCTATGAATCTATGCGAAATGAAACGATAGTTTTACTCGTATGCAAAAAAAAATATTAATTCAGATTTTAATCAAATTAATCTGCCACTCGAAATCGTTAATACTCCTTCCTGCGAATCTCTGTGAGACACCAAACTGAGATTGTCTTTGAACGTGTGTTCTGTGTTGTATATTTGAAAATTCAGTCATCACTTGCGATAATACAAAAAAAAATTATAATTATTTCCTTACGTTGATTGCCATCCCTACAAAAACTAAGCGTTGACTGCGAATAGTAGAAAATAGGTTCATAACATACACGTAAGCTCTTGTAAGAGTTGTTCTCATATTTCGAAACACTCGCCGTAGCAACTGTTTAACGAATCCTTTATATGCTAAATTATCATATAGAATATATTATCCCTGTATTTACAACTCACCAACCGTCTTCCTCCTACCTATAGATCTTATTTACGAGCCAGTGTTTTCCCGCCTTCTTATCACCGCTTGTTCTGCCGCATGTAATTCAAAGGCAATTATCCGCATCTAAGCAGTTGCTACCTCGCTAGAGCTTTTTTAAGCCTAGCGAATGACGTCATACAAGCGTTACTAACATAAACATTGAAGGGCGTTCTGAATATGAGCGAAGTGTAGCTTATGGGTATATAGTCAATGCATTGTTGGCCGACTCTTATTTCTTGAATACAATTGAAGGCTTGAATAATGTTGCTATGGGATCATTGTACTTGCAGCATCGCCCGCTTGTGCTGAGACTCCAGTGATGGCATAGTCTTGTGACTAACTACACTCCACTCCCAGTCTTGTGACTAACTACACTCCACTCCCAGTCTTGTGACTAACTACACTCCGCTCCCAGTATTGTGACTAACTACACTCCACTCCCTGTCTTGTGACTAACTACACTCCACTCCCAGTCTTGTGACTAACTACACTCCCAGTCGTGTGACTAACTTCACTCCCGCGAACCACTGAAACATTTCGTTAATTTTTATGTCGTTTTCCATATCTACATTGCTCTTAATTAATATGCCAATTGGGCGTAATCTTATCGGTTATTTACTTTTATATGAAACAATGAGGCTTAACGAAAAATTTTCCGTTTCACTCTCCTTACAGTTTCAAGTGTTAATTCAAGGCTTCAAGTGACATTTAGAAATTAATTGTATTCAGGATGGATCTTGCGATCGCTAGTTACGTCATTGCTATCATAGGTTGCGGACTGATGGATTCATCCTGTCAACTAAAAGCGGTGATTTTAGATCACAAGTCAAGAAGCAATTGACTTGAACTCAGAGCTCTTGAGCAACGGACTAACGGCATCACTCGACACGAAGATTTCTGTTTTGGGGCCACCAACAACTGGTGCTAATTGACCATAAGCCTAAATTCACCAGCAGCGCTTATTCATGTAGCTTGAAGTTCCTGGTGCGTAATCAACGTGTATGTAATCATATTCGATCTCGTCAATCTTATTTTCTGATTCTAATGTCCTTCGCGCCAACAGCTAATTGGCTGTTGATGTCCGACATCCAACCAATCTCTGAAGCTCTTCATCAGGCCGTTCCAATAATCATAAAGTTCCGACTCGATCAAAGATAGGATTTTTCTTTGGTTCATCAATGCATTTGAGCCACTAATTGATATGATTCGTGTTTAAAGAACCTTGCGATACTCCAGCTCTGGGTAAATACTGTTCGTTTTTGTTTGGTGGTGGTGCTGCTTTTATTTTGATTTTTTTCTTGCCAGGTCACTCTTTTTAGATACATTTTTTAAATTAAACTGAATTGAAAATGTTTTCCTTTGCAACCATGTGTAGCTTCAAGCTTCGTTGGTTGCTAAAAAAAATCGGTAAAAGCTTCGTTTGCACTTTTTCGTCTCTTGCATTGAAGTCTAACATTACTCCGTCAAATGTTCATGGAAATTTTATCTATTTGAGCGATCGTGATTAAACAAGAAGGGAATTTTGAAGATGAGTTTACATGATATCAATTTAACAAGTGGAAGAAGTAAATTATTAAATTTTAATGGAGACCGAAGTTTTTCACGAATTAGAAGCGCTGCATTTGGTGCCGTTTACAATGTATTCCCTCAGCGTATCATTGTCCGTTTAAAGTTTGTGAACGTTTAATTTAGGACGCATGGAAACAAACAGAAACATCGCCTACAAGAATTTCAAAGCTTCTTTTCATCGCGTTTTCTTCATTGGCTGATTTCGCATGGATTTAATTGCTGACGTTATCAATTCCAATGATATTTTCTTTCAGCACGAAAAACTCGTACGCAATGTTAAACAAAATATAACTCAGTACTTGCTGCAGTGAGTGAAAGAGAGCGCATTTTCTCGTCGACGAAAACTTGAGGTCACGGACGGACGGACAGACAGACAGACGGACACACAGACGGACGAGCACAATAGTGCATTTTTTCCATAAATGAGAAAATGCGCTAAAAATATTCCACTTAAAATAGGTTGTAAATTGCATTAGCATATTAAATTTTGCATCATCAGTAATATGAATACGATAAACACCATCCTAATCTTTTAAGTTACAACTTTTTGTCAAGGTCGCATTAAATATTGTGTTACAAAATATGCACAGAAAAAAAAGTTATTTATTGATAGTATATAAATAGGATATAATAGGATATATAAATCCTATCGCTCATAGGATATAAATCCTATGAGCTTTGTCATAAGTCAATCTTAATGCGCCACAGCATCTGCAGTCTAATGTCTTTGCCTATTTTATTATTTTGTTCAATATTGCATACAAAAGTGTAGGAGGGAGAGACGCGGGGCAGGGGAAAGGCCTGACGTTGTCATAGAAACCCTCAGATTGAAATCATGTCCTGAAAACAAGACTCCAGTGAAGTATTTTCTAGATCATTGGATGTGCAAATCAACACGAGCGGGGGGCATAAGGCTTACTCTGAAGATTTGTTTGAACGCTTTCGCTTCAATGCCAGACTGTTATCGCAGTCTCTTAACGCGCAATTTCTACGAACTTATATTGTTTTCATATAAAGGAAGTGAAATTTGGTCAAATTGTTCCTATTTTTAAGAATTAATGAAGAAATAACAAGTCATGAATCGATTATTCGAGTAAGGACTACGATTGCAGAAGAAGTTGACCAATACGAACGAACAATACGTGCGAATAATAAGTTTGTACATTTTCAAAAAATGCAGTGAAATTATGGTTGAAATAAAGTCATGTTGTTCGAGAGTACATAAACTAATTTTTTGCTCAACATCAATCACAACTCTTCATAAAGAACAAATCAAATTATTGATGCGATTACATTCTGTGCTGAAGATGAATTCGATATAAGCGGTGAAATAATGTTTAACATTTAAACCATGTGTCGTATAATATTTGAGACTCCAGGGCCTATACCTTCAAAAAAAGTTAAGAGATCGTAAGTTCATCAGCCAATCATTGACGGCCTTTCAAGCCAAATCCACCAATTATAGACAGTAAATAGAGCGTAAGTACTTACGTTCACTTAGCGAGTTTTGAAAGTATGCATGGCCCCAGTTCCATACGCAATACGCATGTTTCCAAGCTAAAACTTCTACCGTAGGAAAAGACGCTCGGGAACTTCGGGACGATAAAGTTGCATATATCACACGTGTGATCACATCACACGTATCTGTCACGGACTCATTCCTACAACTGACACTCACGCTTGTATCCCTACACGCTGCTTGCATACAATGGACATGACCGGCATCAGGTATTCTGAAGAAAACTTCCTCGTAGACATGATACGATAACGGATAACACTAACAAAACTTGGTGCCTTTTAAGAAGAAAGAGGAAATCGACAAATTTAACTTCAGTAAAACACGAGTAACTCGCGATTGTCGCTCCATTATTCCTCAATACGTCAAATTTTACTCCTAAATTCACTTATAAATAACACGCACATGCTCGCACAAGAGTAATCTCAAATGTACCTTTGATAAACAATACGGCAAAAAATTGTATAAAACGTATTATATGTGATAAAAGTTAACGAGGTAAAAAAATGTGAAACCTATAATCATTTGCAGACTAGTTTTTGACAACGCTAACCTCTCGCAAGTATTAAAAACATGCTGCAATTTTCTGACATTCCCTGAAAAAATCTTGCTTACGATGGAGCTGCGTAAGATCTAAGTCTTACATTCAATATAATATATAGATCCTGATTTTCTCGTGTATTTCATGATGAAAAAATAAACAAAATAATTGCTTATGATCTTTATATAACCTATATATATACAATATTAATTCTTTTTTATATATATACTTCTCTGACATTGGCACGCTTGCAACAGTTTGGATAATTCACGTGTATACTGTGCGGATAAACTTGTTTCAGTCGGGTGCTCATTCTTCCCTTTATATTCTCAATCATGAATTATTATTTAATTATCTTCAGAGAATTCCAGTACTTGTTATTTATTTATTGATAATAGAGTTGTCTGCTGTGTGCGGTTTCATATAACGCTGCTGTATCGACACAATTGCTTTCTTGACGAACTCTATCTTTGTTTTAATAAGATAGAACGTAAAACTCCCGTTTTTTACGGAAGAAAATCACGCTGGCCGAAGGAATTGTCCAATCTGAGTTCGTATATACACATAATTATTGAAAAGACATAACGCCAATCAGAGACTCATTCCAACGTGGAAACAGCTACGAACAACGCATGATGTTTTGCAATACAAACCTGCGAGTATATAGGCACATATACTCTTCATCTCTTGCATGTCTCCCAGTGAAAAGCCTGCAGGGGATATAACTAAAAACGGACTGTAAGGTGATCATCGATAACATACGAAGATACACTCAGAAATATCGATGGGTCGTATTGTCCAAATATTGACACTTTTTCTTGAAACGGCACAAGCAGAGAGCGAACTTAGCCTAATGCGCCGTTTTCCAGGACAAACATACAGGCGAGGATGAAACCAAAGAAGCGTAAAAAGTGCATCGCTGTTCGTACAAAGCATCATTTACTTCTCTAAATGTAGGAGGAGTGAGAGTTCAGTTGGTAACCTGCATGATGAAAAGCCACAGGCTGTACAAAGTCGAGCAATGAATGGCTCACGATCTGTCGGCAATATTGCCGCAATCATTTTCAATAGCAGGGTGGCCCAGTGGTTAAAGTTCAGAGTACCAAGATTGGCGCAAATAGGCGCGGGTTCGATCCCAGCTCTGAGCGCCAGTTTCTGGTCAGAATCGGCAAGGAGACCGGGCGGTTAAGCACTGCAGAATTGTAGCAGTGAGTTGCGAGTTCGAGACCGCAAAATGATGTGAATGTTCTGCGATGTTAAGAATCAGGCCTACGGCCTAACGGCCGTAGGCCTGCGTAGGCCGGCGACAGGCCTACGGCCTAATAACGCTGAAACCGCTATTATTATTATTATTAATATGGGAATGCACCCTGGCAACAAATTATTACGGTAGAGTAGCTACCGTCGCCAGCAGGAGCGTGCATCTTACCATTCTTGACTTGGGTCAAGAATGAGCTTGGGTCACCTGCGTCTCGTTTAGGTGCGTTTCAGTCACCATCTATCGCTGGATTGGTTTCTGTGGCGAGCGATTTTTTCGCCGAATTGAGCGATGTCTTCACCAGGCTTGTAACTTTCCCCGATCATGTCTTTATCACCGGCGATTTAAACGTTCGACTTATTTAAACATTCAATTTAAACGTTCGTTGACGACCTATCGGCGATTCAGCTGAATGACCTGTTGTCCACCTTCGACATGGTTTGTCACGTGATCTTGCCGACGCACGACATGGGCGGACTGCTGGACGTTGTCATCACGCGTGCCGACCTTCAAAATCAGCCAGTCGATGTCATCGAGATCGCAATGTCCGACCATCGACGCCTACTTC